AAGGAGGATTTTATTTAGGGACGATTTTAAGTATAATTTTAATTGGAACACAGCCTCTAATATTTGGTTTTTAATTTGGTTTTAGAAGGGTTTTATTTTTGTATATTGTTATTGTATCTGTTTTTAATATGCTGTGCACCGCCCTGAGTCCTGCGGGAGAAGGGCGGTATAGAAATTAAAATAATAATAATAATAATACTCCAAAGATTGCTCAAGCCAGACTCAAATCTTAGCTATTTAAGGAGTAAAAAAAAAAAAAAGAGTCTTAAGCTTATGCTGCTGCAAGCCTTTTGCCTATAAAAGCCCCAAAATCTAAACAAGAGGGGGGGGGAAGCAAAACTGGCAACCAGTTTTTAAAATTACTCTGAGGGGAACTTGGATCCTAGAAGAGTTGATGACAGATGGCAAGTTTTGCACCCCAAACCAGCAAGGAAAGGTAAAATGATATAAAGCTGGGTGGAGAGTCCAGGACTTACTACCTCAACATGTTTAAGTTGGAGAACACTCTTATTTGATATTCCAATCCCACTTATCATTTAACTACTTCATCCCATCTTTTCTCTTTGCTCAGGGCAAAGAACTCAGAGTAACTGCTCAGTGGGCATATTTATTATTTAGATTTCTATCCTGCCCTTTCTCCAGGAGCTCAAATTGGTGTATGTAGATTTGTTTTCAGTAGTTTCATATAGTAATGGCCCTGCGGGATAAATTCAGTGGTGGGATTCAGCCGGTTCGCACCACTTTGGCAGAACTGGTAGCTAATTTTTTGTTGCTCAGGCCCAGAATGGACTTCCAGAAGCGGCATCCACACAGAGAACTGGTTGTTCACATATTTGAATCCCACCACTGGATAGATTTAATTCATGATTCCAAATTATCAGCAAAGTTCTGCGCTTGAAGGGGGACCTTGAATATAGGTCTCACTGTTCCTAGTCTACGGTAGGCAACCTTGGCTCTTTTATGACTTGTGGACTTCAACTCCCAGAATGCTGACTCAGGAATTCTGGGAGTTAAAGTCCATGAGTCATAAAAGAGCCAAGGTTGCCTACCCCTGTCCTAGTGCAATGCTTCAAGCATTAGAGATTGTGAACAAAACTACTAGTGCAAAAATAAATAAATAGAGGCAATCAAGTGACAAGTGGGTCTCTCTCACTTACCCAGGCAGAATTGGACTGGTTGAGCTGGTTGAGCATAATGATGGAGGTGCAGCCATAGTCATATACCAACCGCCAGAAATCTGTTGTGGTGTTTTGTAGGGGATGCAAGGTTACGATGAAAGCAGCACTGTTGGTGTAGCTCTAGGAGAAGAACAAAAGATATTGGTAAAAGCATGTAGGAAACAAAAACTGAAACAACTCTTCAGTGGGCACTGCAGTGTTTCTCAGGCTCTGCTACTTTAGAAGGGTGGACTTCAACTCCCAGACTAGCAATACAGACATCTCAGTCCTTTAATACCACACTCAAAGGGAGGGAGAAGCATACTATCTGCTCTTGCTTCGCCTCTTTTTTAAAATTTTGGGCTGGCATAAAATGAACCTTACCTAATCTGACAAGGCCATTCTTATGTTAAGTCTGCTCATCAATCACAATTGCATCTTAGTTGGTTAAAAGCACTGAACAAAAAGAGCTTTAAATGACTGAGATGAAGGAGGGAGTAAATGTTTAGATCGGGATTACCAACCTTGGCAACTTTAAGACCTGAGGACTACAGAATTTCTTAGTCAGCTGAAGTCCACACAAGATACATGTAGTGTGACTTCCGGTTCCGGATCGGAGCGCTCGCAGCTGTGCAGGGAGACTGCTCTCTTCCCCAGCTGAGTTTCCGCTGCCGGTAGACCCTTAATCGGGTCGAAAAGCCGCCTTGAAGGGGCAGCTACTGCTGAGGAGGTCCTCATCGTCCGTGGGAGAGCGGCAGCTTCTTCCACGGCCCGAGATTGCTCCTTTGGGCCGACGGTGGAAAGACCGGCCAGTAAAATGGCCGTTCACCTTGCCGCTGTAACCAGAAGTCAGAAGAACATCTAAGCACAGGAACCACTGTGGCTGAGCCGGGTGAGACTTTTTTTTCTCCCTCTCTTGGTTTTCCTTTTTCTTTTGTGCCTATAAAAACCACTTTTGAAATTATTTCCCTGCTCTAAGAAAGCGGCGTTTGTGAATGTGGGAAAAAGAAGCTTAAATGGACTGAATTAATTTAAAGTGATGTTTTTTTCTATTTTTATTTATTTTTATTCACTTTGGGGTCTTGGAAATTTTTTTTAATATTGAATCTGCTATTAGACTTGAATTCTCCCTTTTTCTGTGTTTCCTGATCTTGTTTATGAGATTCCTGGTCTCTGGGAGAAGATTTTACATTGTACTGAGGACACCTTGTGAAAAAAGTTAAAATTGCAACTGTCTCTTTTTTCTGATGGTGAGACTGACTTTGATCTTCAGTTTATCATAAAAGGAAAAATACAAAGAAAATTAACAGCTGTACTGGTGGGGGTGGATACCGATTAAATGTTCCTTGAACACAGCCTCTACTAAATGATACAGAATGTTCCTAATTATTTTTGAAATGGAGCAACCCTATGTTCAACTTGACTATAAGTTCATACTGGAAAAACTTTATGAAGCTACTGACGAAATATGTTTGCAAATAAAAGAATTTACTATGGAAATAAAAAACAGAAATCCTGCTTTGAGCTTACAAATTGATCCCCACACTTTATCTGAGCATTCTATAGACCAAAAAATAACAGAAGCAGGATTAACCAAGGGTAAAGAAGATTCCACTTTACTTCATATGCATGCTCATGAGATCTCCGAGGAACCAAAAAGGACTGATATAAACCACCTACAACTTTAAAACCAACAGAAATGGACAGACAAGCTCAACAAACTGAGAATTATGGTAGCTTGGATAAGCAACTACTATCTACAAAGTTGGGCATAACTGAGCCTGCTATTCAACAGTTTCAAACGTGGAGACTTGACTCTCTAAAACAACAAGGGATTACTTACAAAGGAGCTAGGTCTCTAAAACAGAAAAGGGGATGTTTCTGTTTGATACAAAGGATACCATAAGGCATAAAAAGTGATTTGTTCATTGATATAGAGGCGTTGTTATGGAAACCTGTTTGGCAAAAAAGGAAAGCCAGAATAAGATTTAAGAGTGTGACTTAAGGCTTTATGTAACGGGTTTAAAAGGCTTATTAGATATGGACTGATCTATGGCTTAAGACAGTTAAATAAGATGTTAGATTGAATAAAAATTAATTAAAGGTTTGAATTTAATAATAAGAGGTTTGTTTATGTATTAATATGTTTTGGATATAGTAATTTTGGGAGGAGGTTAAAGGAATTTGATATAGATATTGAGGGATTGATTGATAGAGTGTAAAGTATAATAGAAATAGAAAGGTATTTTTCTTTTTTCTTGGTTTTGTCTTTGTTTCTTGTTTTTTGTTCTTTTTTGTTCTTTTCTGTTTTGAACTAATATTCTTTTTTATTAGAAATGATAGCTACCTTGTAATGGAAGAAGAATAAGATAAAAGAAGAAATGATACTAATAAATGTTTATTGAATATGTTAAGGAAAAAGGCAATGGGGAGACACCCAAAGTGTTAATTATGCATTTGGATTAGAAATATGGAATATAGCATTTGAAATAGTTAAGCTCAACACAGGATTTGGATTTGGATCTATTTTGATGAAAGGTTATTGAGGATTGTTATGATTGACTTAGTTGTATTGAAATATATTAATTTGAATATAATATGCTACTAGAGGGAAAAGAGAGGGGGTTGTTAATGATTTAATCTGAACTTTATAAATATGACTTTGTTTGTGGACAATTGATTGCCCTGCCACCACATTGATTCTTAAGCACTTGTTTGTAAAATGAAAAAAAAACCCAATAAAACTTGTTGTTTTTTAAAAAAAAGATACATGTAGTGTATCTTTATCCTAGAATAAAAATTGAGAAGATGGACGTCATTCAGATCAGGGGTATCCAACCTTAATAACTTTAAGACTTGTGGACTTCAGGTCCAAGAATTCCCCAGCCAGCCACAGGAGAGGAAGTAGGTTTTCAAGACTATGAACTGGTCTGCTGCTTCTTTAACCTAATAGTTAATCCAGGCCTTCTGGGAAATATCCACATACAGTCCTAAAATTGGGATTGCCCTAATAAAGTAGTTAAGCCAGGAAAATAATTAAAGCTGATTTGATCAAATCAAAATTAAGTACAGCTTATATGACTTCATCACACATTTAATAATTGTTTACCTTAGTAGCATTAAAAATGGTGTTTTGTAAGCAGCTTGTAAAGATACTCAGGCCACTTATTCCTAGATCTAGATTCACAATAATGTTCCATTAAAATACGTGTGAATAGAATAGTTGCCTCTCTGCTCAAATACTTTTTGAAAACACTGTTTTTAAAGGAACAAGGGTAGAAGAAATAAAGTTTTAATGTGAAGGATGGCCTTCCCTCACTGAGCCAGCATAAGTCAAATCCTGATCCAATCATTTCATGCTGTGGTGGTAAAAGTAAAGACCTAGGAAAAAATATGTAGATGAAGCTTTTCACCCTTGATAATTCATTTTCCTTTGGAGCGTTGCATGGTGACAAGCTTTCAAAGTGATTGTTCTCCTTCTTCCTAGCAAACTGGCATTTCCTTGGCTAATTGAAAGAGGCTGTTGATTATTTTAGGTAATATAGCTTTCTTTGGCCCTACTCTTACCTGGAAGCTAGCATACCATTTGTACACATGACACATTGGCACAAAATAATGCAACTCAATCATATTGTCTAGACAGAAGAATGCCATCAAAATGAGTGCAATCTACAGGAGTTTTGGTGGAGGTGATGATGTAATCGGAATTTTCTAACCCAAGAAGAAGCAAAAGGAAAGCATAGAAATGGCTTTCTAAATGCTGAACAGCATTACTGACACTTGACTATATGAGACAGTATTCTGAATTAATATAAAGCTGCTTCCTACGCTCCTCTACATGCCAAATTGTAAGGGCCAGCAGCTCCAACAGCAACAGATCCTGGAACTGTAATTCTACAATATCTAGAGCAGGGATGCCTAACCTAGGCAACTTTAAGACTTGTGCACTTCAACTCCCAGAATTCCTCAGCAAGCATGGCTGGCTGGGGTATTCTGGGAGTTGGGATCCACAAGACTTAAAGTTACCTAGGTTGGACAGCTCTGATCTACAGCAATGTTTCTCAAGCTTGGCAACAGTAAGATGTATGGAGATGTATGTGTTGAGATGTGTGAGGTTAAAAGAGGCACAGTTTGTCTGATGTACTAAATTAAAGAGAGGTACAAGGGCTGGCTTCTATCATACAGCATCAAGGCTCAGAGACATACAAAATTAACCAGGTAACAAACCAAAAGACAAAGATTGGATCTAAATGCCAAATATCAAATCATCATATGCCCATACAAAAGACACAACAAAGTATTAATTTGATTGGAGACTATCAAATTCTATCAATTGGTGAGGGTCAGAGAGGTACTGATCGATGGTCAATTTCATTTCAATTTTTAAAAAAATGAAATTATCTAGCTAGGTGGCAGCACTTAATCAACTGTAGCTAAACTGAGAAACTGTGAGCTTGAGAAGATCAGCCTAAATTGGCTAACAAGGGCAACTAAAATACTAGTACAGTTGACTTTTTTCTCCTGATAGATGTTTTATAGTGATTTTCTAAAACCTTATTTAAAGCTTTGAGCTTTTTATATATTTCTTCCTAAAGCTTTGTCTCCCAAACCTTTTCTAACTTCTGTCAAACTTTTTTGGGATTCTGTTCCCCTAGCATCCAATTTTGGAACCTAACTTTGCAGCTTAAAGTTGGTGTAAGACAGGGGTCTTCAAACTTGGCAACTTTAAGACTTGTGGACTTCAACTCCCAGAATTCCTCAGCCAGCCAGAGCTGGCTGAGGAATTCTGGGAATTGAAGTCCATAAGTCTTAAAGTTGCCAGGTTTGAAGACCACTGGTGTAGGAAATGTAAATGGGGTTGGCCAATGATTTTCCCACCGATTCCCTGCTATCTAAGAGATGAACTTACATCAGTTAAGGCCGCATTGATGTAATTGTTGCTGTCTCCATCCATGGAGATCAAAAAAGGGAGGCACCGGTCCAGAGGCAGCACATCCATACTCCGATTTTTTTCCCGATTGCGTGGTAGAAGGGCAATGCTGCACTCCTCCACATCCAGGTGGGGTGTTACAGAATTCAGAGTCTGCTGGACACGAAGAAACCAGATTAGGCAGCATTTTATAATCTTATTGGCAGATGAAATTTAGCACTACAGCTATCCACTTAAGATTAAGATTAAGGTGTTGCATAGAAACTGGGAGACTGTGAATTCTAATCCCACTTTAGGTATGAAACCTGGCTAGGTGGCTTTGGACAAATCATCAGGAGAATGTGAGTTCTAGTCCCGCCTTACCCATGGAAGCCAGCTGGGTGACATTGGATCAATCACCAGAAGACTCTGAGTTCCAGTCTTGCCTTAGGCATGAAAGCTGGCTAGGGCCCTTTGGGCTAGTCACTCTCTGCCAAACCCAGTTCACAGGTTTGTTGTTGTGTCAAAAATAAGAGGCGGAAGGTGTGTTGGATATGTTTGTCATCTTGAGTTATTTGTAAAAATAATAAAAGCAGGATATAAATAAATAAAATGTTTGCTGCTTTGAGTTACTTATGAAGTAATGAGGACAGGTTAAACATCCAAATAAATACACTCTCTATTTTAAAAGAAAGAAATTATTCAAATTGCTTTATGCTCCAGGAAAGGCTGTAATTCAAAACAGATGGATGTGTCTTCCAGGGTTGAATATAGGAACAGGCCTGCTGTATCAAGTCAAGGCCCAGCTCAGCCCAGCATCTGGTTTCTCATCAAGGTCAACTGGTCAGGGCTCTCCAACCTTAGCTACTTTATGACTTGTGAACTTCAACTCCCAGAATTCCTCAGCCACAAGTCATAAAGTGGCCAAAGTTGGAGAGCCCTGAACTAGATGCTTCTGGAGGATATACAAGTAGATGATGCAGACATATCCTTCTCTCACTGTTATTTCCCCATAACTCTTCTCTCATTATTTCTATGTAACTGGTATTTGGAATTATGCTAATGGGAACACACGAGCATAGTCAAGAGCCCTGGTTTCAAGAAAACCTCCAGTTTTCAATCACTCACCTGAAATTCCTCCCGCAACTGAGATGAGTTGCTCTGTGGATCTATTCTAACCATCTCTTTGTATGTAGGTCTGAACTCACTGATGGGAATGCTGGTCTCTCCACAAAGACAAGCTTCCAATATGGCATCATGGATGAAGACATATTGCTCCTTTAGAAGGAATGAAGGAAATGAAGACTTGTTAAGAACATCTGAACTGCATCATTCACATGTCACATTTAATTAATCGGTTGCAATGCTCTTGTACTGCACAGTAAAACTGCTCCTGAAATAATATGGAATCCAGCTGTTCTGATTGTGCCACAAAGGATACATACCAATCACAAAGGAGACTTTCAAACTTGCCCCCAAAGTGATTTTTTTTTCCAAAAGGCAATTGGACTTTCTTTCTCAAGAAAGCCTAGTTGCTTTTTGGAAAAAGCACCTTTGGGATAACCTTAACCTGGATGACTGAGAATCTCCACAGACTACCTGGAACAATGCACTTTACTCTGTCCCATCCCAATAAAACTCACTTCAGTCTGAATCATGTTGATTCTCCGTGAGCAGAGAGTCTTTACACAATTGTAAATGTCTACAACTCCTTCACACTCAGCCATATCCAGCATCACATCCAGGACTATGTAGCAACCTGTCCGTCCAGTACCAGCACTGCGGAGGTTTGAGGAAGCATGAGAGAAGAAGAAATGGTTAGAACAGGGTATTAAATGTGAAAATGTCTCTATATTTGCTTCATGAATTCTTTTGAATACATACATTTCTGATTTCCAGATATAAACGTTTTAATCTTTGGAAATTTAATACATTCCAAAAGTTGGAATATATTTCAAATTCATTAAAAGGCTTATGCACTAGAGCTAGATTTAAGGCTAGGTCAATAGAAGCATCTCTTTTGAAAATATTATAGTCCAGTATGGTAGAGCAGGTGTGTCCAATCCTGGCAATGTGAAGACTTGTGGACTTCAACTAGCTGGGGAATTCTGGGAGCTGAAGTCCACAGCTTAAAGGTTGCCAAGGTTGGACACCCTGTGGTAGAGAATTTCCAATCAAGGGTGGAGTGAAGAGTGAAGATATGCCAAGGTTTATGTCAGAAGGTCCTATCTTTCATTTTAAAACACAATTCTCTCTTCAGTGATTTGCAGTCTTCCTGGTTGTTCTTATGTCCATTGAATCTCCGGGGGATCCTCTTACAGAATTCCACCCATTAGACTTTTTCAATAGTGGTATTTCTGGGGAATCCTGGGATAGTGTAATTCTTGGAGACAGAGGAGTCTGGAACGAGCCCATGAATTCAACAGCACAGCAAAACATGTATCATGACATTGTGGTATAAACTCTGCCCCTTTTGTAGTAGTAATATGCACTGTAGTTGAAACGTTCAAGTGAAAAAGAGGGAATTTGCATCCCTTTTGTGATACAACAAATATTTCATCATTGGCCTCTTGTTGTTCTCTATATATTCTGCATATATTTCCTAGAGCAAATTCAGAGAAATCTCCATCCTCAGAGACTTAATGCAGAATTTCATCATTAGTATGAAGATTCAACTTTAGGTTTTCCTATTATAAAGGACAAAGGCTGAAGATAGCTGGCTGCACCCCTTATGTGGCCTCACCCAATGCTGATAGTCTTCTCCCAATACCCCTCCAGACAAGGGGTACCCTTGCAGAAATGTCCTCAAGCTACAGAAATACCTTGATCCATGATTCTACAATATATTTCTTTCTCCATACACAGCAAACAGAAGTTTTCTCCCTGCACAGAACAGCCCCAGGCTAAAACAGATCTTTCATATTTATGTACGAAACAAATCACATCTGTTAGAGATTTTTTTTAAAAAAGAATCTGCCACAATGTTACTTAGAACACCCTTGGTCCTTCTCTTAAAGGAAACTTGCCTGTAGCATATGGTGACCCCGGTTTCTCTGGTTAGAAGCCCCACCCCTCAAACTCATTAGCAAAAGTCCAACTGCAGCACAATGGAGCCCCTTCTCCATCTTTCCAGTGTTGCTTTAAAACCCTCTAATATACTAATTTCTGGGGCTGATGAATCACTTGTTGTGATTCTCAGTGATTGCATGCTGAGGAAACTAATTATTCTCGTTGTCCCTGAAGAATGAATACTGATGAAGCAATTGGAGGCCAAAATAAAAAGTGTCTGTGTTTCATAGTGGGGGGAAATTCCCCTGCTTTCATTCATCACTTCGTTCTTGTTATCTGGCCCAGAAAGCACCATATAGCCAAATCGTACACAGAATGCCTCCAAAGCTCAGAGGAACATTTAGCAAGGAGAGATTCCACACTGTGCATACAGTAGGAAGCTTAAGACTGCTCTGCCAGCAAATTTTGAAAAGCAAATGTGATAGTGTCCCTTACCATCTCTTGGCCCTAACATTATGGGGAAAGTTAGGCCACCCACCCACACTGATGGGTGGTTAATTATAAGATTAAAAAAGACAGGTAAAGAGAGCCAGTTTGGTCTAGTGGTTAAGGCACCAGGCCAGAAACCAAGAGACAGTGAGTTCTAGTTTGGCCTTAGCCTAGAAAGCCAGCTGGGTGACTTTGGGCCAGTCCCTCTCTTTCTCAATCCAACTCATCTCACAGGGTTGCTATTGTAGGGAAAATAGGAAGAGGAAGGTGTGTTGGATATGTTTGCTGCCTTCAGTTTTTTGTAAAAATAATAAAAGTGGGATAGAAATAAATAAATAAGCCAATGCTTTGAAGCGTGCATTCAGTCATGAAATATTTCTGTAATAATAATAAATTAAAAGCACAACAGAAATTCCTTCCTGCTCTGCCCATATCCGAACACATATATCTGTTGGTGAGCTAACAGCTGAGAATGTTCCAAAAGGCAACTGGACAGTCTTGGGTTGTTGTTCTTTTTTTCCTTTGAAAATATTTCGCTTCTCATTCAAGATGGATGAGAAGCGAAACACTTTCAAGGGGAAAAAAAAACCCAAGATAGTTCAGCTGCCTTTTGGAAAAGCACGTTTGGGACAACCAGGTCCTGGATGATTGAGAAACTCCGTAAACAATCGAAATTGTTTATACATTGAAGGAAGTACACGTCAGCTGAAATTCACTATATTCTGGGTTGCAGGTAGGGGTATCCATGGATGGAGAGGGAATTTTGGGTGGGTGAAGATGGTGGTGGTATAAAAAGAGGGCATGGTCTCAAAGATATAGCTGTGGCCTCCATCTTTGGATCCCCACTGCATACATTCCTAGTTGCACATTTTCACATATCTAATTCCACATTTTGGGTTGGAGTTTAAAATAATACTACACTCATGTTGAAATATTACCCTGCCTTTTTCCCCTACTAATTCTTATTCTCATTTGATTAGGATGTGCTTGTTCTTTGACATTTAATTCAAAGGAGAAGCACATTTCTGAGAATGTACTGCAGATGTAACTGTTTTTTTTTTAAAAAAAGCTTTTATTTTAATTCTGCCACTGTCAACAAAATATGGCACATTTTAAAAACCAGAAAGTGAAGTACACACAAGTGATACAGAAATAAATTCCTGTGTATTTTGGGTGGATGGAGAAAGATATTTGTAATCTCAAATAGTGATTCAAAATGTTCCTATAAAAATAATTGCACAGATGGAGGCAACTGGGAATACTTTGCTGGTGCAACTTAAAAACTGGGGATCAAATGTAAATAAAACAATTTTGAGTTAATGGATTGTTGCTTTAATTTTGAATTAATGGATTGTTGCTTGTGTCTTCTTTTTTTTTTAACCAAATCCTATTTTCTATACTTTTAAGGATCACTGATCTAAGGAAAACTTTACTTTAATTTTCCAGTGTTTTGCTACTATAAATCTGTTAGCCAACTGATTAATTTCTTGTATTGAATCATATTATATGTTCTGAGGAAAAAGGACTATAACATTATACTACTGTACTGGGGTTTTTTGCTCTCCCCTAGCCCACCTCCCCAAAAACTTTATATTAAAATCCATAAGTAATTGGACAATGCCATTGCAGATGTTCCAGCTAGATTAAAACATCTCTAACACAATTTAGAAAGACTATGGTTAATATATTACAATTCTGTGGGGGGTTAGAACTATCTATCAATTGTTTTCATCATGTATTCTTGATGACTTGTCAAAATACATTTAAAATAATTTGGTAAAGAGTTCTAAGCCCTTTTCTCATACTTTAAGATTTTTCAAGTGAGCCTCTTATAATTTATATAAGAGTTTTATATAATATTTGAGAACTTCCTTTTATTTTAAATCACATTAGCATTGCTAATGTTCTTGAGAGTACAAGTTCATGAATTTAAGAATACTTTTGTACTTCTTTCATTCATTCTAAACTAAGTTAGAACTTGCAACAACTTCTGCAAAATATATTCAGAAGAAGTAAAGTGAGTTTCAATAATCCATCTTCTAATCCTATAAAACTGTCTATCCTCCCATTCCTTGATCACATTTATCCTTAAGTTTAAAATGTGGATGATCAAGGAATGAAAACAGAGGGGAAGGATGAAGGGAAAGAAATTGGTTCTACGTTTTCCAAATTTTTATCCAACAAAAATTGGATATGTGATAGATATTAATTTCTCAATATCATAGAAGGAATGTATTGCCCAAACAGATTGAAAAATCCAACACTAATGCAATCTGTGTCCACTAAACATCATTTCAGTTCTGAATAAAGTGAGTTATTTATGAAAAGAATGAAAACAATACCTAGCTCTTCACCTTATTTTTCTGGATTCTAGTTTTCTATATTTATACACAACCATAGACTTCTACAAAAATTAACAAATTGATATTATCCTTTGCCATCTACAAAATCAGGTAATAGGGAAAGGATTTGGAAATATTTGAAACAAATATAGTTTGATGAAAAAATAATTTTTCTTGTGGCTACAGTATTTGGCCAAATAATGACCTGGAACTAAGGAGAAATTTCCTGACTGTGAGAACAATTAATCAGTGGAACGGTTTGCTTCCTGAAGCTGTAGGTCCTCCATTACTGGAGGTTTTTAAGAAGAGAATGGACAACCATTTGTCTGAAATGGTATAGGGTTTCTGCTTGAGCAGGGGGGTTGAACTAGGAGACCTTCAAGGTCCTTCCAACCCTATGATACTATGACAAAGATGTTGATTTAAATTCTCTTTGATCTTTCACAAGAGAGGACTATTTATTTATTTATTTATTTACTATTAAATTTCCATGTTGCCCATCTCCTCTACAAGATGACTCTGGAGAGACAACTGTATTTCTTTCATTGATAACACTTTTTTTTGTAATAATTATTCCTTAGTATTAAATTCAACTGAGCCATAGAGAATACCATTATGTATTTGGAGAGATTTTTACAAACGTTTATCCATCTTGATTATTTACTGACAGTTCATTGTCTGATCATCTTTCCATAGCCTGGACTTTTCCTGTTTCCCACACTACTACTGACTCCCAAGGGAAGACCTCAAGACTTTTCCCATGGCCCTTGTTCCAACTAGGAATTGTGAGCATGCAGAAAGACTTCAGCATACAATAAAAATGTGTCACAGAAAATAGAACTAACCATTGCAACTTCCATATTCATCTTTTTGGGATGCACAATACTTTTTTGGGAGGGAGGGGAATTTTGATAATTTTGAAACCAGGGAATGATGAACAAGAGTAAGCTCCATTCAGTGATATCCAATAGTAGATTGGAGAAATTTGAGGTTAGTGGCTTGCCACACTTTTCTCCCATTAAAATGATGGCATATTTCCTTTGTGATCCTGCTCATAATAAAGCCATTTTCTTAGTATAACTTTTCACATATCCCCATTAAAATGTGTATTGTCCCACATTATGTTATGAAGATCTGTTTTTTTTTTAACCAGAACAACCACCCACAAAATTAACATCTATGATTCTTGGACATACCTGCAGTGAATAACTATGGGTCCTGCATCAGGAGGTGTAGAAGCTTTGACTCTGCGAATGAATGCCAGCAGCCCTGTGGCGTGGTAGGGTACCCCGTGTTCTGGCCATGATGTGAAATGGAACTGCTGAACTTCATGCCTTGCTGAATAGCCTCTCTGTAAGTAATGAGAGTGAGATAGATCTACACTGTTAATGTCCAAAACAGCTATTAGTTGACCTAACCCTCCTTCCTTCCTTCCTTCCTTCCTTCCTTCCTTCCTTCCTTCCTTCCTTCCTTCCTTCCTTCCTTCCCTCCCTCCCTCCCTCCCTCCCTCCCTTCCTTCTGAGGTTGCTGGAGGAAAACTGGAACAAGAAATACATCTAGGAATGAATTTTAATCACAAAAGTGGGCTTATTCCAGGACTGAAGGTCATGCTCTCTGTTCTACTTTGTGCATTGCATCCTAAATCACTTATCATTACTGTTGTATCCTGAGCCTGCTAGAGCAGGAAAGCAGGCTCAGAATTGTTGCAAATGGTCCCGGGCAAACCAAAAGCTGCCCGGGACCAGACAGAGCGGCGCCAGCTTTGTGCACATACGCAAGGCATGAAAACAGTCAGTTCCTATTGGTTAACACTGTCTGGGTCTCAGGCCCTATAAAAGGCCTGCGTGCCTTTTGCAGATTGCTTGGTTGTAGGAGAAGGTTAATAAAGAACTTGTTGTTTCACCATGTGTCTTTGTCAATTGCCAACGAACGGAATACACAAAAGTGGTGACGAAGGTGGGATCCCTGCAAGCAGAAAGAACAAATACGAACTTACCTAGAAGGTTCTGAAGACGGAAGATGGCATCCTGTACTCGCGACTCGGCCTGCCAGTACAGCATCGCTGGAGGTGAGCTCGGCAAAAGGACCCTTTCCCAAAAATACTAGCTTGCAGAGGAGGCAATTAGCGAAGGCCATAAAGATTTACAATGTCGAAGATTGGCCGCTTGACTGACTTTGATGTCTCCCACCCTGAGAGATGAAATTCATACGTAGCAAGGATGAAGAACTACTTTAGAGTAAATCAGATCAGGGAAGACGGCCTGAAGGTGGCAACAGGAAGCTTTTGACATCGCAGAAAATCTGGTGGCCCCTGCACTTCTGGAGTCAGTATCGTATGTTGACTTGGAGAAGATGTTGAAGGAACATTTCCTAAATTGTCTGTCATCGCTTGGAGGCATGCGTTCGAGCAGAGAGACAAAAGGCCGGGCGAATCTGCTGCGGACTTTATCGCTGCCTTAAGACAAGTGGCCAGGCCTTTTGAGTTCAAGGACCTGGAAGAGAGGCTGCGAGATCGTTTTGTGTGTGGCCTACGTAGCAGAGAATTGCAACAGAAGATTTTTGCAAAAGAAGAAGTATCGTTTCAAGATGCTTTAAGAGAGGTTGCAGCTGAGGAAGCAGCAGGCGGCACTGTGAAGGCTTTGCGGCTCACCAGGAACCCTCCAGCCACCCTGACGGTCCATCAAGAGGACGCCCGGGAAGATTCAGAAGCGTATCCTAAAGAGGAGGTGGACAGACTTCACCAGCCAGCAGGAAGAAGGCCGAAGGGACGTCCAGACAAGGCCGCAGCAGCTCTTCAGTGCTTTGGGTGCGGAGGACGCCACAAGCGAGCTGATTGCAGATTCCGCTCCGCCATTTGCTGGGCATGTGGCAGGCAAGGCCACATCGTTTCCATCTGTTTGGGTCGCCAGAAGGTCCAACCTCAGGCAGAATTGTTTCAGAAACGTACCAGGGTCCCCAACCAACACAGGGTGGGTTTCTGCGCATCGCGCAGGAGTATTCTGAGCACAGGGACACACAAGCCCCTTACGAAAAAACTTCGCATTGACGTGAAGTTGCAAGGGGTTCCCTTATTGATGGAGTTGGACACAGGGTCTGCTCTATCAATCATTTCACTTGACACCTTCAAAAGGATTTGCAGCAGTAGTGGCCTTCGAGTTAAACTCAGGCCATCAAATTTAATACTCACTGACTTTCAGAACTCCAAAGTCAGTGTGAAGGGGGAGGCCACACTCAAAGTGCAGCGTAAGGATTTTGAAGGTTTCCTGGATGTGGTGATAGTTGGGGGTGAATGCACAAGTCTTATTGGACTCGATTAGTTCGAGGCTCTGGGAATCCAAGTGACTGGGCTTCACAACTTGCAAATGTTGGGCCTTGCAGAAGTCTGCAAGGAGTTTGCTGATGTGTTTAGTTCAGAGCTAGGATCCTACAAGGGGCCGCCCATTGCATTACATTTAGACCGAACTATCACGCCCATCAGGGTCAAACCTAAAAGGGTGCCTTTTGCCCTCAAAAGCAAGATAGATGCAGAGCTGGACAAATTGCTCCAGCAAGGCATCCTAGAACCTGTGGACTCTAGTCCATGGGAAACCCCCATAGTAACGCCTTTAAAGGCTAATGGAGAAGTCCGCATATGCGCAGACTATAAGTGCACATTGAATAAAGTGTTGTAACAGCACGCATATCCAGTGCCTGTTGTAAGCCACATTCTGGCCTCCCTCAAAGGGGGGTGCCTTTTTGCGAAACTTGATTTGGCACAGGCCTATCAACAGCTACCTGTTGATGAGGCAACTACAGAGGCCCAGACGATTGTAACACACAGAGGGGCCTTTAAGGTTAAGAGACTGCAATTTGGGGTCTTTGGCATAATCCAAAGTGTCATGGAATGCACACTTCGTGGTATTCCTGGGGTCTGTCCCTACTTTGATGATGTCCTCATTGCTGGGGAGTCATCTCAAAATTTAGCAGAAAGGTTAAGGGCTGTCTTGTTGCGTTTCTGCAAAGCAGGCCTTAAATTGAAGCAAGACAAGAGTAAAATTGGAGTCACTTCCACTGAATTCTTAGGATTCAGGATTGATGCCCAAGGCATCCACCCTGCTGAATCCAAGCTGTAAGCGATTCAGCAGGCCCCAAGTCCCAAGTTCAAAAGTGAGCTACAATCTTTCTTGGGACTATTAAATTTCTATCACGCATTTGTCCCACAGCACAACAGCACAACTTTAAAATATTTGGTCTTAATTGGTTTTATTGGGTGGGGATTGTAAATATGTTTCTGTTTTTAAATATGTTGTGAGCCGCCCTGAGTCCCTGTCGGGAGAAGGGCGGGATATAAATCTAACATAAAATAAATAAATAAAAAAAACAAAACATAAGGCTGCAGTGGCAGAGCCGTTACACCGGCTCTTAGACAAGCAGGCTCCATGGCAGTGGACTAAAGTCCATGAAAGGAGTTTCAATGAGGTTAAGGCCTTGCTCTCTTCAAATGCTGTATTAGCGCATTTCAATGAGCAACTGCCTGTATGCATCGCATGCGATGCATCTCCTTATGGGGTGGGAGCAGTACTTAGCCACCTGAAGGCTGATGGGACACAAGTCCCTGTAGCATATTATTCAAGGACTCTGTCATCTGCAGAGCGGAATTACTCTCAGATTGACAGAGAAGCCTTGGCCATAGTGGCTGGCATAAAGAAATTCCATGATTTCTTATATGGCCACCATTTCACAGTCTACACAGACCACAAGCCTTTGCTGGGCTTGTTTACAACTAACAAACAGACACCACATATTATTTCCCCACGTATGCTGAGATGGTCAATTTTCCTGTCAGCATATGATTATAGTCTAATTCACAAACCGGGCAAGGAGATGGGCCATGCAGACAGCCTCAGCAGATTGCCTCTCAAACAAATAGAGGCAGATCCTGCTCCTGCCATTAACATTCTCTCCATTCAGGAGTTGCCTGAATCTCCCCTCAATGCCAGGGACGTGGCTGCAGAAACTGAGCTCACACGTGTGCTGACATGGGTGTTGTCAGGATGGCCTGACACGTGTCCAGATACAGAGTTTCAAAGCTTCTGGCAAAGGAAGCATGAACTTTCCACTTTCAAGGAGTGCCTGCTATGGGGAAGCAGGGTAGTCATTCCAGCCTCATTGAGGTCTAGAATCTTGCTCTCTCTGCATGAGGGACATCCTGGTATAATAAGGATGAAAGCGCTTGTGCGCAGCCATCTTTGGTGGCCTGGGCTCGATAAAGCCATCGAGGCTCAGGTGCACGGGTGCCAAGTGTGCCAGCAGTCAAGGCCTGAAATGCCTCAAGCCCCAGTACATAGGTGGGAGGAAACTCAAACCCCGTGATCACGGGTGCATATAGATTACGCTGGATTCTTTCAGGGGCAATTCTTCCTTCTCCTCATTGACAGCCACTCCAAGTGGCTAGAGGTTGTTCCTGTTTCCTCCACTACTACTGCCAGGACCATCCAGGTGTTGAGAGGAATTTTTGCCTCACATGGACTTCCAGATGTCCTGGTCTCAGATAATGGCCCCCAATTTACCTCTTTTGAGTTCCAGGCTTTTCTTCAAGCCAACTTGATCCGGCATGCAACGTCTACTCCGTTCCACCCATCGTCCAATGGCCAAGCAGAGAGAATGGTGCGCACCACCAAAGATGCTCTAAAGAAACTGACTTACGGTAACTGGCATCATAGGTTAGCAGAATTCCTTCTTGCACACCGCACCACACCTTGCACAGCCACAGGGAAGAGCCCGCAGAACTCCGCTGGGGTTGCCGCCTCATCACCAAACTGGATAGGTTGCACCCAGACCGGGTGGCTTCACAGGTGTCACAACCGCGGGCACCTAGGAGACTTCAGGTGGGCGATCTGGTCTGGGCAAGGAACTATGGGCCTGGACATCTCTGGGTCACAGCAGTGGTCTGCAAGGTCTCTGGACCGTTATCATACGAAGTAGCCTTGGATGACGGACATATAGATCAACTCCGCTGGAGGCTTAATAGGCGTGTTTCCGCTCCTGGCTCTGCTCTGGGGGGGGGAGGACCATAATCCACATTCTGGGTTACTGGGTTCCAGTCCTAACAGTAGCTCACAAGCTGCTGAGATGGTCGATGAGGCTGTCTGGGCATCATCCCAAGGGTCAGTAAGTGCTCCAAACAGGAATTCATTGGAAAGGGAGTCATCCCACACATCAGTTCTTGCTCCAGACAGGGAGTTGCACCGGGGGTATCCACATTATCCAAACATGTCAGATAGTGCTCCAGACAGAGAGTCGCACTGGGGGTATCCACATAACTCACACACAGCCACAGACAGCGAATTCCATCAGGGGCAGTCTCACAATTCAGTTATTGTTCCAAAAAGGAAGTCAGTATCAAGGGGGTTTGCCATGGAGACGGCTCCTGACTGTGGCACCCCCGGCATGTGCATGGGGGCTTCGGAGTACTGGGGCACTTCCGCCACTCAGGCCACTCCAACTGCTGGCCTTGGGCTCGAGGGACAGAGTTCCCAAGGGGAGTCCATTGTGGACTCGGGGACTTCCACCCCTCCAAGGTACACTGGCTTGGACTCGGAGGGTCCAGCCAGTCAGCAGCTGGGTGGGACACCTGGGTATTTGGGGCATCAAAGTCCTGGCCTGCCTAGCCTGGCAGGCGAGCAGGTAAGCCAGGCACACTCACTGGCCATTAGAAGGTCACAGCGGGCCAAGTGCCCACCCAAACATCTGGGAGATTATGTGAGATCTCTGTCAACATATGGGGAACCTTGTTGATCTGCACCTGGATGTGGGTTAACACTCTGGAAAGGGTGTCATATACTATTATGATTTTGGATACATTTTGTTTAATTTAGTAATTATTTTGTCATAGTGTCTTGCCTGCGTGCAGACCAGAGTAACTCCACTCTCCCTGCCTTTTGACCAATGTACTTGTGCGTAAAGCTAGGTGTGTTTTATCTAGGGGGGTGGGGTGTTGTGTCCTGAGCTTGCTAGAGCAGGAAAGCAGGCTCAGAATTGTTGCAAAAGGTCCCGGGCAAACCAAAAGCTGCCCGGGACCAGACAGAGCGGCGCCAGCCTTGCGCACGTGCGCAAGGCATGAAAATGGTCAGTTCCTATTGGTTAACACTGTCTGGGTCTCAGGCCCTATAAAAGGCCTGCATGCCTTTTGCTGCTTGCTTGGTTGTAGGAGAAGGTTAATAAAGAACTTGTTGCTTCACCATGTGTCTTCATCAATTGCCAACGAACGGAATACACAAAAATTACTATGATAGAATGCATTCTTGCTGAGCTGCTGCCAGGCAAATTTAATATGCTCAGAAGATTACCTGTTTCCAGGTTTCCTCATTACTAGATTCAGTAGTTTTTTGATGGGGAAGTCCCAGATCCCTGATTAAGGTCTACTGAAAAGTACGGTAAATACCTTGGAATGGTTACAAGGCAACTAGATCCCTGGAGCTCTTTTGTTCTTCACTTGAAACAAACTTGTAATTTAACATTTTTCCAGATTAAGGGGGGGGAGCAAATTACCACTGTGGTTGTCCCAAGGTTGAGCAATTACAATTGCTCAATAATTGCATGAACCTTGTGACCTCTGTCTACAAGATAAAAATGATTATCCATTCCCTGTACAATTAATATGGTGCTTAGGCTCAAATTAATCTGTCAAGAATGTCCATGTAAATAAAGGGGTACTTTACAGTATTATTTGCTAAGACAATGACCTTTGATGGAGTTTCTGAAAGCTATACAACAAGGCTCAGATAGCATGATACTGATCAACATGAAATGTTAATATGTTAAAATATACGTTAGAGGTTCTGGGCCATTTCATGCAGTCTCAAAGCTGTGTTATGCTGAGATCAGATTATCCACCATCTTGGGATGTATAAAAGAGGACAAAGTGGTGTTAAAGCCATGGGACCTTTAACACACCTGAAACAGCAAGAAAGAAGAACAAAAAGCCAGGAGGAAGAAGGAAGAGCAGTAGCAAGTAATCTGGGAAGATTGTCAATAAGCTAGGACTTTCAAGATTAACTAATTTAACTCCTAGTCTCTATGGATTCAACCATGCATTTTGCTTGGGAGTAATATAAGAGTGCTGAATTCTTCTAAAAATGTTTTCTTGAATTCTCAGATTAGTGGTCTCTTAGTGGTCTGCTACCCAAATATTATCCAGACCTGACCTGCTTAACTTCCAATTCCAGGTAAATCTACCTAGCTTCTACCGTTTCACTGAGACACCCTGGTAAATGAACAGTCAATGACTAGCTACATTTGCCATGGAAGTCATTCTGTGAACAGAAAAAGCTCTCGTGAAAACCCTTTTATAAGAATAGAGAGATGGCTGTCTTTCAAAACTCTAAATGTGTTCACTGAACCAAGCAAGGTTTGATCTATTTTACATTAAAAACCTTCCCTTCTTGGTTACATCTCTTCATCCATCTCCAGAAATCATTTCCGTATACCATTGCAGGAATTCTGGGACTTGAAGTTCATACATCTTAAAATTGCTAAGATTGAGAAACACTGGTCTAGAGGCACCATCTTGCAGTTATATTTATGATTATATATTCAATCATAAAATAAATAATATATCTCTTATATTCAAACTCCTAATTCTCTACCAAACTAATGCTTAAAAAAAGGGTTAATTACTCACTGCCAAGCATACTTCAGGGCTTCTTTAAATCATTTTAAAAACTGATGTTTTTGAATAAAATAAGAAGAAAGAATATGAAAGTCCTGATATTAAAGTTCCTGAGCTACCCTGACTGAAGAAAGAGCATGGATGATATAGTACAGTACATTATTATGAGCTGCCTAAAGTTATATATGAGATAGTCCATATAGTGTAAAACCTATAAATAAATTAAATAAATGTCCAAATATTAAAAAGGATAAAATACAGCACGTTTATAGATAATGGGATATCCTTGCAGAACTTACCCTTTCCAAGGTGAATGTCCTCACTACATATTCTGCCAGAGTCTCTGATTTCACCTGGGTAATTTTAATGTCTCCATACATCTCTGAGTCATCTGGCCAATATTTGGCACACTTAACCTGCATACAACAATAAAACAGATTATGGTTAAGTCTATCGTGAAGGAGGTAAGCATTATCTGAAGTCACTGGTGAAGAGAAAACCAAGAATCATCTCTTACCCTTCCCACTTCTACCAGCTTTGTTATCATTACTATGCTGGAACAGTGTTCCTGCCATACCATCCGCCAGAAATCATAGATCATCTCCTGTTTGGGGCCTAGAACACAGAGAAAATCCAGAAAAGATTGCAACAGAGACAAAGGTCAGGAACCTATTTAAATATCATGGTTATTTTAGCAATTCCACTTAGCAATAGCACTTAGATTTATATACCATCCCATAGTGCTTTACAGCACTTTCTAAGAGGTTTCCAGAGTCAGCATATTGTCCCCAACAATTTGGGTCCATATTTTACTGACCACAAAAGGATGGAAGGCTGAATCAACTTTGAGCCGGCCAGGATCGAACTCCTGGCTGTGGGAAGAATTTGCCCGCAATACTGCATTCTATTTGCATGGCTATTTTACCCAACATATAATCTCAGAGCAGTTTTGGATATTTTTGTAATGCACTGAGGAAGCTTGAACATCTTGGTATACAGCACATCTTCTTGTGCTATCTTCTTTCCATATATGCAGAAAAATGGGAAAGGGGAGAAAAGGAGAAAGCATGATAAAAAGCCATATCCAAGTAGTATGTATGAAGGTCTTACCTTGTGTGGCTATGAAATGATTAGATCTTTGGTAACCCTGTAAAGAAAAAAATATGCATTAAAGGAAGGAAGGAAGGAAGGAAGGAAGGAAGGAAGGAAGGAAGGAAGGAAGGAAGGAAGGAAGGAAGGAAGGAAGGAAGGAAGGAAGGAAGGAAGGAAGGTTTTATCCATTTCTGTATATCCCAAGGTTTTCTACTCTGAAACATCTTGATTCCTTTCTGCAACAGTTATTCCAAAATTTACACACTTTTGAGGTGGGGTACAGGCAGGGAAGATAATGTTCCATTTGATTTCTGTTTAAGGAATGTATCTCAACCGAAACATCCTCCCAAGTCCTTCATCTACCCTAAGTACTATTCGTAGCCTCCATGTCCCACCACAGAACAGGTATTTCCAAACAGCCTCTCCAATGTACATTTTTCATAATTGTTTGCACTGTTCACATCCAATATATATCCACTAGCAGTTCCTTCACAATCATCTGTCTTTCTCTTTTGTACAGAGGTAGACACTTCTTCCTCCTCACATCACAGTTATAGCCAAGAGCTATTTAATATAGCCAGAATGGGTTGCTCTGAGATCCAATAAATAGCTCAACAACTTCACCCTAGAAAAGCTGGAAGGAAATGCAGGTTGCTGTTAGGAAAGCAACGTGGGCATCTTTCTTATGGCAGCATTTTCTAGGCTGAGGTGGGTAACCAGAGGTTCTAGAGCAGGGATGTCAAACTGCCGGCCCACAGTCCAGATGCGTCATGCCAAAACCGCACCCACCCCAGCTCCGGCAATGGGGAAAAAGTCACGATACGTCATGCCACGACACATGATGTGGCCGGTTTGACACCCCTGTTCTGGAGCCTCTGTAAGAAACCACCCCCCAAAATCCTGGGCATAAACCTTCCCTCTCAGGGTTTCTACTACTAAATAGCAACTTACAATGAGACAGAGGAATAAATGATTAAATACACAGTAGGAGTGTAATTGTGTTAGCTATATGGAAAGAAGCAATACCAAATGTTTTATTTTTTTATCAAATTAGATTCCGCCCATCTCACTCACAGTATACTGCATATAATGATTATTCTGCATCAACTCACCACTTTAACGAGTGGGACTACTGCTCTGCCATCTGAATGCTAAATGCAATCTCTGACCCACAGTTGCACACCCCTATTCTAGCAAGCATGGAAATATTTTCAAACACAACCATGCATGCAGGGGTCCACTGAACACAGGGCTTGAATATACGGTACTGAACCTCAAATCATCTCTAGGGAAAATGTATACATTTTTCCCAGTACACAAAAACTATTGGGATGAGTGGTTAAAGGCTGCAATAAATCACAGCTCAAGGACACTGCATGAAGCACCATGACACAGAGCAGCCACTACAATTAGTCCTCGTTTTACAAGCATTCATTTTACAACTGTTCAAAGTTACAATGGTCCTGAAAAAAGTGACTTGCACTTATGACTGTCACAGCATTTCTCCAGGAATACGTAATCAAAATTTGGACACTTGGCAACTGGCATGTATTTATGATGGTTGCAGTGTCCCGGGGCGATGTGATTGCTCTTTGCGGCCTTCCCAGCTGGATTCCAACAAGCACAATCAATGGGGGGAAGCTGGATTTGCTTAACAAGCCACACAATTCACTGAACTGCAGTGATCTGTTTAACTGTGGTTAAAAAATGGTCATAAGGTCAGGTGTGACTCGCTTAGCCTTGCTTAGCGATAGAAATTCTGGCCCCAATTGTGGTTGTAAGTCAAGGACTACCTGTATACCCTGAGCAACCGCTATGAACACTCCCCTTCTTCTAAGCCAGGGGTCTCCAAACTTGGCAACTTTAAGACTTGTGGACTGGCTGGCTGAGGAATTCTGGGAGCTGAAATCCACAAGTCTTAAAGTTGTTAAGTTTGAGATCCCTGTTCTAAGCCATTTAATGCACGCACATAGCTAACTCCCAATTGAGAAGCCCAAAGGCTAGAAAAAGATGGAAAAATAAACAAGAGCATATCAGGAAGAGCTTAGACTTAATAGCAGAGCCTAAGATTTCCCATATGGCCTGCAATCTCCCATGTTTTACCATCCTTGGTAAGATCTGGCCAAGACAGTCAGATCTCCACTGTTTGCTCTCAGTTGCTATGGAAAAAGGAGATACCTTGCTAGGAGACAGAGACAGGAGCAGAATAAAACATATCACAGGACAGCATTTGGATAAATATTAAGGAAGCTTCAAGCAAAAATGGAGCAGAGAGTGCCTACCATTTGGGGTTTAGCATTTCTGAATCACTAACTTCAAGAGCACACAAATGTTTTCATTAGTCAATGTTTGTACTAATTTTCAAATTGTTACCTTTTAAATGCAGAACTTTTCATGATCATGAACACCTTTAAGTGCACAATTATTTGGGCTTTTAAAAAGTACAAATGAAAGTCTAAGTGTTGTTGAAAGTCATTACAGCGAGAATGTAACTACAAACATTTCAGTTTGAATGTCTGGTGGAATATTTGTGGAAGGCTGTTGCCTATATGGCATGAGAATTAAGGCTGTTGGTAATATATTGTGAGTAAAATGTATCCAAACAGGTAAAACTAATCAGTCAATTATCTTTACATTACAAAGTATGGAAAAGAAGGAGGCAGAGCAGCAGCTTAGTTTTTCAAATGTCTAGATTTAAGCCCAGGGATACATATCATGCAAATATACACAACACATATCCTCTGTTGTAGGCAGTGAGGACAAATTGCAATAGCATTTAGACATATACCACCCTATAGCACTTTACAGCACTCTCTGGGTTATTTACAATATAAGCATTATTTGTAAATTGCCCCCAACAATCTGGGTCCTCATTTTACTGACCATGGAAGGATGGAAGACTGAGTCAACCTTGAGCCCTGTCAGGATTGAACTGTAGGCACAGTTTGCCTGCAATGCTGCATTTTAACCACTGTGACACCAGGGTTCCACCAGGACAAAAATGTCCCAAATTTAGCACCTAGATTTCCTTGTTTCCAATAGAAGAATGGAACTAAATGTTAGTAATTGCCCGATGGACTTACTCAACCTGGCAGGTGCAAAAAGTCCTGATGACCCTGTGCACTTGTTCTAGGCCAGCTGGAAAGGATGCTGGAAGGTGAACTTCAGTAAAAACTGGAAGACCATAAGCTCACTATTTTAATTATATTATGTAACACCTCTTCTGAGCAAGCTGCATTGGGTACTGGTTTGTTTCTGGGGCCAATTCAAGGTGCTAGTTATGATCTTTAAAGCCCTAATGGCAAGGGACCAGATTACCTGCAGAGTCATTTTTGCCCATTATAACACCCCATCCCACCTGGTCAGGCAAGTAGAGTATGCTACATCAGTTCTGTTTGGTTAACCCACATTTAGGGTTAATCATGTGCATAAACTGAGCACAACTTTACCCCAATCGTCCTTTGAAATAATTGTCTAAATGAGATGAATGAATAATAATAGGGGAAAATACAGACTTTTTTTCTGCCTAACAGGGTTCCAGGTGGCATATGACTGCATCACCACCTGCTTTATTTTAGAGATCAGTGGGCTGAGACCATATTTCTGGAGAAATCCAGTGTCCTTGATTTTTTTTTCTCTCCATGTTCCAGACCTTGTTTAACATTTCAGTTTCTTGGGTCCTGATCTCGTACTCCATGCTTTAACCACTTTCTGGCTCCCAGCTATAGACTATAGTATGACAATGGGACCTGGAGGAAGATCCCTGAAATGGGCCATGGAAAGGGAGCAGCTCAGAGCAAATAACTTTGAAGACAAGAAAGTAAGCTACTTAAATTGCTTGCTTTCTACTCTACAATGATAGATGAAATACAAACTGCCCTACAGACTGTTTTGACATGTTTGCCACTCAAAAGCCCAACATTCTACTTCATCTATAAGGTAATTATTTTTGCCACCTTCTTCATCCACTGTGCTTGGTTGGCCTAGACCCATGTCTCTTAGCTCTACAATTTTGTTCAGGCAATTGCCCTTTCAACAAAGGATACCCACTTCTGCACAATGTTGCCAGACATTTTGAAAAGAGAACCATCAAGTGAACAAGACAAACTTAAGGACCTATCCTTTCAGACTATAGTACATAAAATCAACCATCAAAAACAGCCGTGTTGAAATAATATCTGTTGTGGTGGGGTGGGGTGGGGTAGGAAAATCCCTCCATTCCAAAATGAACAATTATAGAGTCTTGATTGGAGGAGAAATGGAAAAGAAGAGAAGGACATGACATATACTTACTTCTCGGTTTATCCGAATCTTAGCAAGCCCACAGGATTGAGAGAAAAAGAAATCAGAGACAGACAGATTAGTGAGACAAGAGCAAAGGAAGACTAGACCCATTAGTATAGGAGGTGCATTAAAGAGCAACACTGATGAGTAGAGAAGGAGCAGCAGCAACAGGAAAGAATTGAACTGTCTCATTGAACTGATCTGGAGCACTGTAAACCGATTCAAGCTGTGATACTCATTCAGAAATATTTAAAATGTACTTTTGAACATTGTTTCCTTTTGACTATTTGCATTTTGAATCTGAGATGTGAATGCTCAATGTGACCTTTGGAAACAGGACTTCTAAAACATCATCCCTCTTTGATGTCAGCAGACTGGATTTAACACTTGTTCAGCAAAACACTATCAAAGAATAGAAAGGATTGCATCCAGGTAATCAAATGTTTATGATACATTAACTAAATGAATGGTTTAGTTATATATTGCATATACTTTTAGTCTTCTGATTTATTCCTGCCCTATAAGATTTTATTCTTGTGCAAATGAACAAAAAGAGGATTCCAAAAGTGAACAGAAATAGGAAAAGAGAAACTTCTAAGGATGCATATGAAACAGAGACTTGGGGTATGACAGAAGACAAACAACATTCTACATTACAAAACAAGTAAGTTTCTAAGACAAAAAAAATGCATAACAAAAGCTAGAGAGAAGATGGAGGAACTGATATACTTACATCAATGTAGTTAGCATTAATATAGTCAGAATTGGGATCACCAAGAAGTGGATGGAGCTTAACCCGGTGTCGGTCATCTGGAAACAAAATCAGTTATAACTATTAGGGCAGAATAGGCAGAAGAGCATTGGGAGATTTGTATAAACTCATATATCAAATTCAAATGGTTTTCCCTTCCTCCCTTCAGTCAATTTCTAGAAATTCTAGTTAGGCGGAGAGATGGAATTCAAAGACTCTAGCAGTAAAGTTCATTTTCTATATTTTCTAGTAGGATTTATGAATGTTGGCTTGCCACTCAAAAATTCCTCCAAAAATCCACTGTGGAAAATTACAAAAATACTCTAATCTGACTTGCAGTCTCACACTTTGCCACTTTTTAATCCATGCAATTTGGTGTAGAAATCCCTTTAATTATATTTATTAGATTGATATCTGTCAGGCTTAAAAAAAAAACAAGAAAGGCACAGACTTTTTACTTCTAAACAGTGTACTTTATTGTTCCTCAAATATAGGCAGATATCTTGCCAAATTAAAGCAACTATTTCTATCTTTAAAGACATACTCTGAGAACTTATGGGAAGGAGCTATCTTGACCCAAATTATCTAAATTTGATCCTCTGGAATGCAACTCCCCCCCCTGGAATCCAGACTACATTCCACCACAAATACTCTTCCAGGATACAACACTTGGCTTCCATCTTATCAAGGCTTAGATAGCAAGTAAAAACATGTTACCTTGACATTTGAACTATAATCTGATCTAGGATTATATACTTTATTTTTATTGAGTTGTATATCATTCTTGGTATCATCATCATCATCATCATTCACTTCCCTTAGCACTAAGTCCTTCCCTTAGCACTAAGAATATTTTGAGAGGGACCTTAATATTTCTGAAGAATTTGAAGGATCCTCCCAGCCAGCTGATGGCTTCTTATCTTTGAATGGTGTCACATTTGGCAACATAAGGATCTCCAATTGGAGGAGGGTTGCATCAGTCATTGAACCTGTAAATGCTAAGGATTCCTCTTAAGAGGCTTCATAATGACCCCTCAGATGTGGGAGGGAATGCCTCTTCTGAGCTAACACTCACACTTGGACTCACAGGCAGAGTATAGATGACAAGAGGATGTTTTTGCTTCTCCTCTCCTGCAATGTACCTTCTGCTGAGAGTCAGATCTTACAGTTACACTCCTTCAGCCAGCTTTTCTCATCCTGAAGTATTTCTCTCTCTCTCTCACCCACTAATATGTTCTGCAAAACCCATATGCTTCCCTGTTAGGGCAACACAAACTGAGATGCGATGCAGCATATGTCCCCAAGAATAAATACTCCCACCCAGAGAGAGATCGGATGACACCAGTCTGCACCATTACTGTGGCAGAATGGAAGAAAAGGGCAGTGTCAAAATGAGATGTGCAGTTTTGTCCTGCACACAGCAGAAAGACAAATGCCCCCTGTGTTATTAGGTCAACAGCCAATGTGCTCCCTTTAGCCCTTCCTTCCAGAAAAGCTGGCTAGGGAGTGGAGTAAAATTGGTGCTTGGCTTTGCCTAATCTGTTTTGAACAATTTTGCTCTCATTTTTTGTCTCTGCGATAACATGGAATTTCAATTTGGAAAACAGCAGATAGACAGCTATAATTAGGAGCAATAAAAATAGCTAGTGTAGCAAAGAAAAAGCAGCTGCTGGAGGAGATATTTTATAGCAGAAATTCACAATAAATTGCATTCATCCTTCCAGTTCCCAGAGAGAGGATATTCCAGGTTACTCATTTGAACTTTTTTTTTAATGCACTGAATACCAAACATTATCATCATTTGATGTCTCTTTTTGTCTTGCACAAGCTGAGTTACACCATGCTAAGACTTGATTTGCTTTAACAGAGTTGTATTATCTGAGGCACAACATCCTAACATATAAAACCATGGCTTAGAATGCATAGTGACTAGGTTCAGGCAAGCTACTCTATGATTTAATGAAATCTGGGACTTCAGCCACCTGCACCCACAAAGAAGATGTCCTATTTAAAAGAGATCATAATGATGGCTTGTTGCACAGTGGAATCTTATCATGCTCCAGGCCAGCTCATTCTCTGAAGGGATGTTTTACTTCATCCATTAGTGAATCCCAATATAGTTAATCAACAATGACTTAAAACTCCAAATGAAATCAAGCCCTCAAGCCCTGTAGGAATTAAGATGCCAGTATCATTTCAGCCCCTTTCCCTCTCAAGGTGACATGCTATCCAAGTCATGTCAATTTAACACATTGAAGACCCAGAGCAAGAGTGTAGGTCAGAAAATTCTATAAATGAATATCTAACTCTTTGCTGCTCTTTAGTGTTTGTCTGGATTTTTGCAGCTCATATACAGTAGAGATATGGATCTTCTATCTCAAATCTCCATTGCATTTTTCATAACAAGACAGATGTGGAATGCAAATCTTTCCCTCTCCATTAATTTTTTTTTCATAGGAACGCCTCCAGGACAGATGAGAAACACAGAATAATTGCTGGGGTAAAAAGTTTATAGTTGAGGTTAGCCTTTTCCTTTGCAGATTCTAGCCTTCTTTTTCATTCAAAATACAGTGAAATAAAATAAGAGGAGAAATGCAGCTTAAGGAACACCAGGGCAAGTGTGTGGACGTACTGAGGACCAAGATCAGGGGTAGGCAACCTTGACTCTTTTATGACTTGTGGACCAACTCCCAGAATTCCTGAGCCAGTCATGCTGAGGGAAAAGGGAGAGTTTCCAAGCTGAGCCATGCTGGCTCAGGATTTGTGGGAGTTGAAGTCCACGAGTCATAAAAGAGCCAAGGTTGCCTACCCCTGACCAAGATGCATTTGTTCAGCTGGAATTTGGGATCAGAGCAAATATGAAGTGTGCATTATTGTTATTACCACTTTGTCTGTAAAAAAAATCAACTATCTATAGCTAGTCCTTGATGTATGATCACAATTGAGCCCAAAACTTTTGTTGCTAAACTAAGTGAAACGATATTCCAGGGGGTGTGAAAACTTGGGTTTAGAAATTTCAAAATTATAGTATATATGTATAATTTGTTGGTGTTATTTCAAACTTTTGCCCCACATTATGACTTTTCATGCCATAAGTTTTAAGTAAATTACCGCAGCTGTTAAGTTAGTAACATCGTTGTTGTAAGGACCCACCCCACTCTACATCTTAAGGAGACAGAACTCTTGGAATATCTCTTCCAACAAGCATCTTTATTAAGATAAGATGGTTGCAGGCATTCTAGACAGGATCTGGGGCCCAAACCCTACCATTCAAGGTTTTAAGTGTTCCCAAGCAGCCCCCACCCCACCATCCTTCCAGCGACAATCCCAGGCATCACATTTCCACCCCCTTTTCCTCTCAACTGGCAGAAGGGAGACTTCAGAGAGTAGTAGATGAAAGCTGATGGGCCATATTGTTATGGTCTGTCCTCTGGGTGAGATCCACATCCAGTCCCTTTGAAGTTTTAATGAAGGAAGTGAGAGACATAAAACCCCTTTGCTCATCCCCCTTCCCCTTCGTAGTATGACAGAATCCAGAGAGGGCAGAAATGGGGTTTTCCATAGTCGATAACTAGAAATGAAATATAATTGGATTCTGACATCCTGCCCCCTTAAAAATAAGAGAGATCCACCTGAAAAGAAAACAAAACAGGTATAAAAGTTAGTTTGGCTTGTTAGGATACTCTGTATGAAACTTCTTTAATAGCTTCGGGGCTCTGACATGACGTTTATGGACCCACTCGTTTTGTGAGGCAGGGAGGTGTTTCCAAGCTACTAGGTACTGAGTTGCTCCATGAAATCTCCTAGAATCTAAGATTTCCTTTATCTCGAAGTGTTGTTCGCCCTCCACCATGATTGGAGGTGGTGGTGGGGGATTTTTGGCCGTAAAGGTGACAGATGCTCTCTTTTCAGCAAACTGCAATGAAAAAATGGGTGTATTTGCCTGAGATTTTTGGGTAATGCTAATTCTACTATTACTGGGTTTATGATTCTTTTAATTGGAAAAGGCCCTATATATTTTGGTCCAAGTTTTTTACAAGGTTGTAGGGATTTTAGGTATTTTGTAGATAAGTACACCATTTCTCCTATAATGAATGGTGTAGGCTCAACCCTTTTTTTTTATCGGCTTGTGCTTTGTATGCCTGCCTAGCTTCATCTAGTGCTTTTCTAACTATTGGCCAGGTGTTTTGTAATTGTTCCATCCATTCTTTCAGTGATGGGATTGCCGGTTCGTTTGGGGTTAGTTCTGGCATGGGGTTGAAACTTTGACCGGTAGCTATTTGAAAAGGAGTGTAACCTATGCTGGAGTGGACTGCATTATTGTAGACAACTTCTGCGAAAGGGAGTAGGTCCATCCAATCAGACTGCTGGAAATTAAGAAAGCATCTTAAATATTGCTCAAGTACTGAGTTCGAATTTTCTGCTTGACCATTCCCCTGCGGGTGATGGCTAGATGTCAGTCCCTGAGTGGTCCCTAAGAGGGATAAAAATTCCTTCCAAAATGCAGATGTAAATTGCACTCCCCTATCAGATATGATGCGTTGGGGTGCCCCATGCAATCTGTAAATATGCTGGATGAAAAGTTTCACTAAGGCTTTTGCGGTGGGAATCTTTTGGCAAGGGATGAAGTGCACCTGTTTGGAAAACAAGTCTGTGACTGTCCAGACAACAGTATTCCCATTGCTTTCTGGTAATTCCACTATAAAATCCATGGCTATTTCCCTCCAGGGGGCTGAGGGATTTGCCACTGTTTGTAACAGTCTGGGTGATTTCCCTTGCAACCTCTTTGCAGTTGCACACTTTGGGCAGCTGGCCACGTAACTTTCTATGTCCTTTTTCATGGATGGCCACCAAAATTGCTGTTTAATTAAGTGTAATGTTTTTACAAATCCAAAATGCCCTGCTGATTTTGTGTCATGGCAAAGCTGTATGAATGTGACTCTTTGGGTTGTTGGTATATATAACTTTTCCCCCACCCAAGGCAGCCCGTATTTCATTGTGCACACATTTTTTATTTTTCTGGAACCATTCATCTGTTTCCAAACTTTTCCGGAATTCAATTCCGGTTTGGCTGCCCAGCTGTGGTTTTAATTTAGCTTGGTTTCTGGTGGTTACTGGCGCTGCCAGTTGTGATTCTACCATCATCAGTTTAGAGTCGGTGGCTCGCGTGCTGTTATATTGGGGCATGCGAGATAGTGCATCTGCCAAGAAGTTCTCCCCCCCCCGGCAAGTGCTTGAGCGTAAAGTGGAGTTGGTGAAAATGTTGGGACCAGCGGGCTTGCTTGGGGTTGAGCTTTCTGGGTGTTTTCAAGGCTTCCAAATTTTTGTGGTCTGTCCACACCTGGAAAGGGATTTTGTTGCCTTCAAGGAACTGGCGCCATGTGAGTAATGACCAACGTATCCCGTATGCCTCTTTCTCCCACACGGGCAAGCGCTGTTCCATTTCGGTGAGTTTCTTGGATGTATACGCACAGGGTTGCAATACCCCTTCATTGTTTTCTTGTAATAGTACAGCCCCCACTGCCACATCACTTGCATCCGCCTGTATTACGAAGGGCGTGTCCATGTCTGGGTGCCTCAGTACTAGTTCAGCAGAAAAAAGTTTCTTTAATCTTTCAAACGCCGCTTGGCACTCCATTGTCCATGTTAGTGGCTGGCTGGGTTTTACTGAGGCTGCTCCCTCTGTTTTTAGTAAGTTCATGAGGGGCAGGGCTATCTGGGCAAATGAGGGGATGAATTGGCGGGAAAAGTTTGCGACGCCTAGGAAACTTTGCAGTTGCTTTCTTGTGCGGGGTGGTGCCCATTCTAATACTGCTCTGACCTTCTCTGGGTCCATTTCAATGTCTTGTGGGGATATACGATAACCTAGGTAGTCTATCCTTTCCTGGTGGAATTCGCATTTTGAGAGTTTGGCATATAGGTGGGCGGCTCGCAATTTCTTTACAACCACTCTGACTAGGTTGACATGTTCCTCTTTTGATTCAGTGAAGATAAGAATGTCGTCTAAGTAAACCAGGACCCCCTTAAATAGGTGCTCCCTTAGAACGTCATTGATTAATTGCATAAAAACTGTGGGCCCCCCTTGTAATCCAAATGGCAAGACTTTGAATTGGTAGCACCCCATTGGGCAGTTAAATGCAGTTTTCTATTCATCCCCTTCCTTAATTCTCACGCGATAGTAAGCTTCCCTTAGGTCTAGTTTAGTAAAAAAAAATCCCTTTCGAGAGGTGTGACAACATGTCCTTCATGAGGGGTAGGGGGTATAGGTTGCTTTCACTGATTGTATTCAGGGACCTATAATAAACGCATAAGCGTAAAGAGCCATCCTTCTTCTCTCTAAAGAGGACCGGGGCGGCCACTTTAGGCTTGGCTGGCTCAATGAACCCCCTTTCTAGGTTTTTCTTTATGAATCTTTCCATTTCCTCCTTCTCCTTTGGGCTCATGGAGTATAGCCTGGGTTTCAGGAGTTTTGCCCCAGGCTTGAATTCAAAGGCACAGTCTGTGGGTCGGTGGGGGGGGGAGCTCATCCGCCCTCTCCTCACTGAAAACTTCAGCAAGATCTCTGTATTCCTCTGGTATTTCTGGTAGTCCCTTTTCCCCTCCCATGGATGCTTTTTCCGTTCTTAATTTTGGTAGCTCCCCTTGGGGTTTTACGTCTATAGGGTCCCCTTTTGGGAAAGTGATTTCTGCCATCCTCCAATTCACCCAGGGGTTCCATTTCTTTAACCATTCCATCCCTAGGATCATCCGGCATTCCATGCCTGGGGTCACTACAAATGTTATGTCTTCCTCATGTTTGCCCAGGGAGAGGTGTATTGGTAAAGTGGCTAGGGTACCTGGCACCCCCCCTGCTATGGACCCATCTAACTGGCCAAATGAGATTGGTTGTTCCAGTCTCCTCGATGGAATGCCCAGATTCCCCACTAGCGCCGGGCTAATGAGGCAGCGGGTACAGCCAGAGTCTATTAAGGCTTTCACCTTCACAGCTTCGGGCATGGGGGGAATTAATATAGTCACTGTCTTGAGGATGGGTGCGGTGGGTCCACTTACCAGGGGTTTGCCCTCCGAGCTGTTGTCTGAGGCATCCACTGGCCCTGCGGTGTAGGCTGGAGTTCCTTCCCCATGATGGACAGAGGTAGGAGGTTCCACAGCCTCCATCACTCTCATGGCAGGTTCTTTTGGCTTAGCTGGAGACTTCCCGGATTTGCTGGCCGGTGATCTGTCTGGGTTGTGCTGGGGGGCTTTTGAGCGGCATTCTACAGCCCAATGCCCCTCTCTCCCGCACTTGAAACACCCCATTTGCTTCTTGGCCATAGCCGATGGTTTCACTGGTTCATGTGTCAACTCAGGCGGTGAGCGGCTCCATTGTTTTCCTCGGTGGTGCCTCTTCAGTAGGTCGATCTCTGCTTCCTCTGCCAGAACGTACCATTTATCAAGTTGGTGTGGGTCCCCTTGGGGCAGGCAAGCATCATATAGGTCGTAGTTTAGCCCGTCTTTGAAGTGGCTAAGGAGGATGTCTTCTGGCCAGTTCAGTTTGCTGGCAATGGCCTGGAATTCTTGTGTGTATTCGGCTACCGGGCGTTTGCCTTGCCTCATTGTTTTTATCCTTTCGCGGGCTTTGCAATCAGCCAGGGGGTCCTCAAATCGCCTTCTCAGAGAGGACATGAAACAGTTGAAGTCGTTGAGCTCTGGGGCATTGGAGTCGTGCAAGTTCACCACCCAATCTGCGGCCTACCCGTCCAGTGCAGATTGCACGATCCGGATACGGCCTTTGTCGCTGGGGATGTGCTGCCCGTATTCCTCCATGTAGCTGAGGACTTGGGTTAGGAAAAACCCCAAGCGTGTCGGCTCCCCCTTGAATCTCACGTCCAGCGGCGGGAGTCTTTGAATGGATTGGTGCCTTTGTTGTCGGTGGTAGTGTCTTCCATCCAGGTTGTCATCTGCGGGTTGGCGGGGAGTGGGGACTACTGGATCAGCAGACATCCCCGGGGCTGCAGGTTCCACATCCCCCTCGGTGTTTCTCCAGGTGCAGCTCCAGGAGCTGGTGCGGCCGTGGGGCTCAGAATTCTCCTCTCCTAGGAAGCTGAGGGTTCTCTTCATCAGGTCAATAGCTTTCTCTAGGATCCAGCCCAAGTACGGTGCCCAGCTCTCTTCCTCTTCACTTGCATACAGGGATTTCCCCATCTCCTGCTTCCATTCTGGTTGGTTGGCCCCCCGTCTCAGGGTCACCTTTCTTGATTTTTTTTCCCACTCGACTTTCTTTCCAACGGCCATTGACCACCGAGGTTTGTGGTTACGTGTCTCCACCACCTCTTCTCCTGAGGAATCTGACCTCTCAGATCCCGACATCTGGCAGGGTTTCAGTCGGGGCAGCGGCTCCCTTTCCGGGGAGTTTTCTCCCTTCTCTGCTCCATCATCTGACATGGTAATTTTTGCAAAGTCCCCCAGCAAGGTTCTCCCTTCCAGGTGGACTAATTTTGCAGATCCTGTCTAATGTAAGAACCCACCCCACTCTACATCTTAAGGAGACAGAACTCTTGGAATATCTCTTCCAACAAGCATCTTTATTAAGATAAGATGGTTGCAGGCGTTCTAGACAGGATCTGGGGCCCAAACCCTACCATTCAAGGTTTTAAGTGTTCCCAAGCAGCCCCCACCCCACCGTCCTTCCAGCGACAATCCCAGGCGTCACATTTCCACCCCCTTTTCCTCTCAACCGGCAGAAGGGAGACTTCAGAGAGTAGTAGATGAAAGCTGATGGGCCATATTGTTATAGTCTGTCCTCTGGGTGAGATCCACATCCAGTCCCTTTGAAGTTTTAATGAAGGAAGTGAGAGACATAAAACCCCTTTGCTCATCCCCCTTCCCCTTCGTAGTATGACAGAATCCAGAGAGGGCAGAAATGGGGTTTTCCATAGTCGATAACTAGAAATGAAATATAATTGGATTCTGACAGTTGTTAAGTGAATCTGGCTTCCCCATTAAGTTTGCTTGTCAGAAGGTCATAAAAGGGGATCATATGTCCACATTGCAACCATCATAAATACGTGCTAGTTGCCAAGAATATGAGTTTTGATCACATGACCATGGGGAGGCTGAAATGGTAAGTGTAAAAAATGACCCTATGTGATTTCTTTTCTATACCCCACACCCCTAGAATGCTTCTGATATATTCTTGCACCCCCTTACAAAAGTTCTAAATAACACCAAGAAATTATACATATATATTATAATTTTGAAATTTCTAAACCCAAGTTTTCACACCCCCTGGAATATCGTCTCATGCCCCCAGTTGGGAACCCCTGCCCTAAGTGATTTCTTTTCAGTGCTGTCGTAGTTTAGAATGGTCACTAAAGGAATGGTTGTAAGTTGAAAACTACCTATACAATCTTTTGAACCCTTCTCCTGCTATTATTATTTCTAGATATATAATGGCTCTTATCAAATCACTTGGAATGTCCATGATGTAGGGTTTTTTTAATATGCTCCTTTCCTCTGACAAATTTGTTCCCTAAATGAAAGCAGTGATGGCTACTGAGAAATAGGCACCCCATCCTACCCCACCCTCACTTTAATATTTTTACGTGATTGCTTTTGCAAATGGAATCAGTACTGGATCAAAATCTACCTGCTGTGAATTTGAGAGACCAAGATCAAAGTAAGACAGACCCAACCCTAATCCATACTGTGCAAACTCTGGAGAGTTTCAGGGCATTTCAGCTCTCTTAGAATGAAAGGAAGGATATTGATTTTTCTTTGTTTCTTTTTTTAAGAAAAGGTTTTTGTCTCAAACACTTACAGGTAGGCATGTGATCCTGTCTCCCTTTGGTCTTTTCTTTCTTCTTTGAAGCATCCCAGCCTTCAAAGAAACTCTAGGAGGAAAAGAAGATTGTTACGTGCCTCAAGTACCCTTAGGAATAAGCACACCGCATTTCCACCAGCAGTACAGATAACAATGATTTCTCTAGAGGTTAGTCCCACTACACTGATTCAAAACAAGTTACCAAATGTAGAGTTTATTTGATGGACTGATGCTTGCATGCCTACATCCAGACTGTGCACAGCTTCAAAAGAGGCTATAAGAACTAAAGTTGCAAGGGAGTTCTCACGTTAGACCAATTCTTTATATATTAAGGAGCAGATGTCTTCCAATCTCAATGCTATGAAGAGAACAGTGACATTTTTTATGGAAGGGAAGGCAGGGAGGAAAAGACCCAAAGTTTATAACCTTGATAAGACTACACTTGGAGTATTGCATATAAAAAAGATCTTGAGACTCTAGAAAGAGTGCAGAGAAGAGCAACAACGATGATAGGGGACTGAAGGCTAAAACATATAAAGAACGGTTACTGGAATTGTGTCAATGCTGCTAACATCGAATGTTCTTGCTTTGACAACATATGGAGATGCAGCCATTTTCCTCTATTTTATATTTTACTCTTAGAGTTAGAATTAGATGATACTGGGGGGAGGAGGAGGAATGTGCTTGTGAGTTTAGTTAGACATAACAATACTGTATAAGGGTGGGAACCAAGGTTTTTTGTAATAAGAGATGATAAGACAGTGATGACGAACCTTTTAGAGACCGAGTGCCCAAACTGCAACCCAAAACCCACTTATGTATCGTCGGGGGCCGGGTGGGTGTGGCCAATTGGGTGGGTGTGGCCAATTGGGTGGGCATGGTTATGGTGGTAATGGCAGACTGGGTGGGACTAAAAAGTTCAATCAATCAATTCCAACTTTGCGAGATGTTTTTTTTCCCGCAAGAAGTTGAAATTGATTGATTGATTGAACCTTTTCTTTTTGCACATGGCAGCGGAGACCTAAAGCGAAAAGGTTTTATAAAACCCAGCTGAAGCTTAGGACTGGGGCAACGACATGCATGCCCGCAGAGAGGGCTCTGAGTGCTACCTGTGGCACATGTGCCATAGGTTCGCCACTATGGTGATAAGACATGGCGGGTTGAAGAACTGGTGGGAAAGCCAGCATTTCAAACTAATTGGAGAATGTGATTTATGACTGTTAGTTAGAAGAGGGAATTGTGCTTTGATACTATGTGCTTAGGGGAGGGGAAGTCAGATTTTGGCTTGGACTATGTACGTGCCGACGTTTTGCTACTTGAATAAAGATTCTTTAAGGCAGCGGTTCTCAACCTGTGGGTCGTGACCCCTTTTGGGGCCGAACGACCATTTCACAGGGGTCGCCAAAGTCCTGGAGTTTTTCCTCATAGAATCCTTATGAAACGCAGTCCGGCATTTTTTTTGTTTTGTTTTTTTTCCCCTTTTTCATGAGCTGTGCTACTCCCTCTTATTCTATTGGCTTTTGAACGCCAATAGAATAGACTCTCTTGAATAGAGTCTAATTCTATTGGCTTTCAAAAGTCAATAGGAATTGTCCAGGCTGTCTCTGCCCTGCTGAGCCCGCCAAAAGTCCCAGTCGGCAAACGTTGCTGCAAGTTGTCTGCAGCTAAGGCAAGCTTTCTGGAAGTTTCCACCCCTCCATGCTGAGCAACTACTAAATGTAAGTAAAAGAGGACCAGGGGTGGGAGGGCCGCCCAGGAGCGCCTGGGCCTGCCTGCTGCCGCATCGAATGGGCGGTGGCCAAAGTGAGGTTAGCGGGGCAGTGGCGGGCGCTGGGAAGGTAGCTGGCGTGTGTGGGGCCCAGCGGGTGGCTTACCTCCCTTGGGCTGGGCCAGCTGGTGGCCCAACCG